ATATTACTTATTAACATTTTTTAAATTAACTTAAGACCTTCATAGATGGGACAAAAATGTGTATCAGTACAAAAACAAACACAACTAAAAGTGAAAAGCCCCCATGATTGGAATGGAGACTAGGAATGACATAGAGACATCTGTTACTAACATAAGTTGTTAATAAAAGAGTGATATTATGATTTTAAAAGACTACATCAAATTGACCATGTCAAAAATGGCCGTACCCAAAGGTTCTGACAATTTTACAACCTGGGCCCCAAACCCTCACTGAACTGTTTGCTCCTGATCCTCTGTCTGCACAGAGGCACTAAATCAGGACAAGAACCACTCCATTCCGTTTCTTTACACACACACATACACAAAACATGTTTCCTAGCAAAGTTTTAATGAATATTAACCTATGCAAATAAATAATGGAGAGGATCCATATGCAAATGAGTTCTGCAAATACCTAAACCCTGAATTCTAGACTTCCTAACATATCAGTTTAATGGAATTTCTATAAAAAAATCCCACAAGATAATTTACTAGTATAGACACGATTATTCTAAAATGTGTATGGAAAGGCAAAGGAACTAGAATAGCTAAAACAATTTGAATATGAAGGATAAAGTCAGAGAAATCAGCCTAGTTTGTTTCAACTTACTATATAGATACTGTCATCAAGACTGTATCTTATTAATGGGGATATAGACATATAGGTCAATGGAATAGAATGGAGAAACCAGAAATAGACCCACATAAATATGTCCAATTTATTTCTGACAAAGGTACAAAAGCCACTCTGCAGAGGAAAGATAACTCTTTCAAAAAACAGTGCTGGAACAATTGGACACCCATAGGCCAAAAAGATGAGCCTTGACCTAAACTTCACACATTAGACAAAAATGAGGTCAAAACATATTAAAGACTTAACTGAAATGTAAGACTAAAAACTTTCAGAAAGAGAAAAAACCATTGGAGAAACTCTTCAGGATCAAGGACTAGGCAGAGTTGTTAAAGTTGACACCAAAAGCACAATCCTTAAGAGAAAAACACTGATATATTGGACTTCATCAAAATTAAAATGTGTGCTCTGGGAAGGGCCCTATGAAGAAGATAAGAAACAAACAAGCTACAGATTGGGAGAAAATATTCACAAGCCACGTAACTGACAAAGGACTAGTGTCTAGAATAAATAACTCTCAAAATAAAAAATCCTGTTAGAAAATGGGCAAAAGACATGAACAGACATATTACGGAAGAGGATATACAGATGGCAAATAAGCACATGAAAAGATGTTCAACATCAGTAGCCATCAGAAAAATGCACATTAAAACCTCAATAAGATATTGTTACCTACCTATCAGAAGAGCTCAGATAAAAAACTGTGACACCATCAAATGCTGATGAGGATGTAGAGAAATGGGAACACTCACTCACACACTGTCAGTGAAAATGTAAAATGCTACAGCCCCTCTGGTGAACAGCTTGGCAGTTTCTTAAAAAATGAAACATGCAGCTACCATATGGCCCAGAAATCGTACTCTTGGACTTTTAGCCCAGAGAAAAGAAAACTTAGAATCACACAAAAGCTTCTACAAAAATGTTTTTAGCTACTTTATTTATAATAGCCTAAAACTAAGCACAGCTCAAATGTCCTTCAATGGGTGGATAGTCATACAAGCTCTGATACATGCTTATCATGCAATACCACTCAGTAATAAAAAGGATTATTACAGTAATAAGTGCAACAATTTGAATGCTTCTCCAGAGAATTGTGCTGAGTCTAAAAAGTCAATCTCAAAAGGTTACATACCAGATGATTCCACTTATAGAACATTCTTGAACTGACAAAATTATAAAAAGGGAGACCAGATCAGTGATTGCCAGAACTAAAAGTAGGATGGGGGAAGTGTGGAGAAGGGATCCTTGTGATGATGAAAATATTCTGTATCTAGACTGCAACAATATCCTGGGTGTCACATTGTGCCACAATTCCGCAGCTGTTGTAGAATAGTTACCATTGGAAAAATAACTGAAGGATACATAGGATTTCTGTTATTTCTTGCAACTGCATGTGAATCTACAATTATCTCAAAATAAGTATAGTTTAATAAATATTTTCATGTATGCACTCACAAACTATGGCCTCAAGTTCAGTTATAGAAATAAGGACTACAGCAGCTACATATACATTTTCCTTACTGGTTCTATACATATATATATATATATTTATACATATATATGTATACACACACACACGTGTGTGTGTGTATCTGTATGCTAATTATTAAGCTATTGTCTGTAGGTTCCAAATCTATACTTTTCTCAGCTTAATGTTTCTTGGACCAAGACTCTACAAACCACATTTGCTTTTTTTAGCTTCTTCCCTCTTAAGTCACCGAAAGGGGGCAACATAGGGAGACGAAAGGCTGGAGAAAATGAAGAGACTTCCTCCTTCTTATTTGCTTCCTGCGAGCTTCCTCCCTATTGCACGGCTCTCTGAGCACCACAGGATAACTTGTCTTCTTCACCTAAGAATAGTTGAGTCCTTCCAACAGCAGCCATTGAATCCAATTTGCATTTTTTCCAACACTTCCTATCACGTAGGAACAGGAGTCAGCAAACTTTTGCTGTTAAGGACCAGAGAGTAAATACTGGAGATTTTTCAGGCCATTTGGTCTCTGCAGCAACTCTTCAATTCTGCCATTGTCACATGATGGCAGCCACAGACAAATATAAATAAATGTGGCAAGCATATTTATTTATGAACTCTAAAATTTGAATTTCATATCATTTTCACGTGCCACAAAATATATTTTGTAGCAAGTTAAGATGTGCACCCAAAAAGATAGGTTGAAGTCCTAACACCCCCTAACACCCATACCTGTGGATGTGATCTCATTTGGAAATACGGTCTTTGCAAGTATAATGAAGTTAAGATGAGGTCATTAGACTGGGCATCAATCCCATATGGCTGCCATCCTTATAAGAAGGGGAAAACATTATGTAAAGACAGAGACAGAGAGGAGAGCACTCTGTAAAGACTGTTAGGTCACCACACAGCGAGGACCCCCAAGGATCGACGCCAATGGCAGAAGCTGGACAGAGGGGAGGAAGGACCCTGCCCAGAGCCCCAGAGGGAGCACAGAACCACTGACCACTGGGTTTTGGATTTCTAGCCTTCAGAACTGTGACCAAATAAATTTCTGTTCTTTTAAGCCACCCAGTCTGTGACATTTTATTATGGGGGCCCTAGAAAAATAATACAATTACTCTTTTCATTTTTTTTTAATCATTAAAAATGTAGAAATCTTTCTTAACTCACAGGCTATACAAAACAGGCAATGGGCTGGTTTGGCCTCTGTTCTGTAGTTTGTAGACCAGAGTCTCTCCCCAATCCCAAGATACAGCACCAGACAAGCAGTGCTGCCTAAGGTCTATAAGCTTTGGCCCCACATTCCTACAGTCTAGTAATTCCAACCTCTTTCCCTTTTCCTCATTCTTCAGGGAAGGTAGCTGCTTTCTGTAATTCTGTCATACCTTACTGTTCTCTCTCTTTCCACTTCCATTATCAAGTTGATAACTTTATATCTAGTTGACAATTGTTTGTATTGTTTTCTCTATTAAAATAACTGTGTGATTTCTGTCGCTTAACTGGACCCCCACTGGTATAATTTTCTTTTTAAAAAACACGTCAAGATTTTTTGGGAAGTACACTGATCTTCAAGGTTTTTTGGATCATCCTGGTAATTATTAGATTTAATTTTAGATAATTAAGACAACTCTGCAGAGTTGGAATTTCTGACATAAAAATTGAATAATTTGTCACAAACTTTAATTAATAATCATTCTTGCTTAATAGACTTGTTCCTCTGTTTCCAAGTGCTTTAGAAGAACTAAGGAATTAATACCATGTTATACTGAAGAAGGAATAAAGCTGCTAATGTCATAAAGTTTAATATGCACCAGCAATTCCATCTTAGATATTACCCAAGAGAAACAAAAGCACATGATCACAAAAAAACTTGTATAACGCAGAACATGGATTAATCTTAACCACATTACGTAGAGCAAAAGAGACAAGACGCAAAAAAGTATATAAGATTTTTGCTTATATGAAACCCAAGAACAGATAAGATTTATGATGACAGAAATCAGAAGAATATTTGCTTTGGAACAGAAGAATACTGACTACAAAGAGACAGGAGGGTTTTGGGGGTGACAGAAATATATCCTGATTGGGATCAAGATTACAGAGGCTTATACATTTGTCAAAGCTCAGTGATCTGCATTTAACATGTACATTGCATTTTATGTAAATTTTACTTAAAATTTTTAAGAACAAAAAAGAAATTAATCTCTAATTTTCAGACCTGAAATCCGTAGCATAACATTTGAAATCATAGATTCTAAACCTTTAGAAAGCAAGCACCCAACAGTCTTGTTTATGTTACATATATTTTCACATGGTGGGACATAGATTTTGACCTAGTAAATATTAGTGTTAGATGCACGAACCAGAGCACTTCCAGTCTGGCCTTCCCTCCTTCCTTTCCTCTTTCTTTCCCTACTTTCCTCCCTTCCCTCTCTCCCTCCCTCTTTTGTTTTTAAAAGAATTTGAAAAGCCTTCAGAGGCAAATATATCATAAAATTAATGAACCTCTACTTCGAATCCCTTCATGGAACGGGCTCCAACAAAGCTCAGGAAGAAACTCTTAACAACCGCTCACATAGCCTTATGTCTGTAAAATTCTGTAAAAAGTAAACATTTAACCATAATGCGTTAAAGCCACTGTCTTTCCATTTCGCCTTTTCCCTTGATCACATTTCCCTCTATACCAAGTTTGTAGGAGTGGTGGCAAACATTCTGGGGATTTACCTAAGTTGAATTGGGAATATATAAAATTAGGATTTCATGAGGTATATTTACGTCATTTGCACACTTTCTTGTATAGTTAGTTGTTAGCCATCCCATGCAGGAATGACTCCCTCGAATACTTCTACTGCTCACCTTGTCGGTTCACCCTCAACTCAAAGATTCAGGAACAGAGGTCATATTGCAATATGAGTGTGTCCTGAGGCAGTCAGCACCAGAAATCTGTGGGTAGTGGAAGAGAAGGGTTTGAAATATATTACCATAGAGGCTGGTCCATTAGAAGTTCTTCCAATCACCACATGTGTAAATTTGGCAATAGAAGATTCAATTGTCATCAACAACTACTCAAAACAGAAGGTTTTTTGTCAGAAATGTCTTTGATAATGCTGTGTATGCAATTATAAATGTATAATTTATCAATTTTTGTCTTTTCTGGTAAAAATCACTTCACCATTTATTAAAATATTTATTAATCATTTATTAGAATTCTTATTTTGGCAAAATGCAAACCTATAAAGTTATTGAAAAATATTGAATGTATTTGTGGTAAGGTTGTTGTTTTATACATTCCAACTATTAGTAGTAACTTAAAATTTTTAAATCAAAAAGGCAAAAGAAAGTCTTATTTCTTATTTTGTAATAATTATATAATTGTTGTCACATAAAGAGGTGATCAAAAATAAACAGCCAAGAAAATGTAGAAGAAAAATTCTATTTAGGTGCGACAGCCTATTAATTAATAAAATTGGACTCAGGTTTGTTAACATTTTAGAAATTGAAATTTGTTATTTCTTTTCTCATTCTAATGATTCATTTTTAAATTTTCATAACTTAAGTCCACCAAATTTTATAAGGCTTCAGGCCCCACCTTCATCCACCCACAAAAAAAAAGTCAACAATCTAAAAAGGCAAAAAGAATAAATAAAACTAAGCAAATAAGTAATTAAAGATGTAGAGGAATAAATAATAAGCTAGAGCTCAAAGGAAGGCCAAGTCAGGAAAGAGGTAGTTCACTCTCCTCTTCAAAGTAATACTATTTTTCCCTTTATACCCTTTTTTGAGTCACATATTTCTTCCTTTATGATCTCAAACTCTAGTAACAAGGAACCTTAAAATCTTAAACATAATAAGAAAGATGATGAGAAATTTATTTTTTCTCACCAAATTTTGGTTCCCAAAAGCATCACAACATAAAACAACACATTGAAGGAAACTATTCTTTGATAAAAGACTTAACTTAAACATTTTTCATCTACCTAAAAATTACTCCAATGGCAACAATGTGAATAATTTAATCTGCTCATAAAATAGTGCCAACCACAGAAGGTACCAAGCAGTACGTTCAGACTGACTCAGTTTAAAATTTCTAGACATCAAATGGTCAATTTCAAGTTGAGATGTGCCATAACTTAATGTGGCCAGTCACTTTCTTAAATCCAGCTCACAGATATCAGAAGGAATCAGCTGTGTCCAGCCATTTTGGTGTAACTTTTGTTTTTTGTCACATATAGCTAACAGTCCTTTTGCTTTTGATCTTAACACCACTAGCAAAACAAATAACATATTGCTGTGGTTGTAGGGGTTTTTTTTAAGAAAATTCAGAAAATAAATTAGAAATAACTTAAGTGCTCATTAAGAAAGGAATTGAAAGAACTCACACACCTCAACACCCAAAAAGCAAATAACCCTATTAAAAAATGGGCAGAGGGTATGAACAGACACTTCTCCAAAGAAGAAATTCAGATGGCCAACAGGAAAATCAGTTTTACGACATGTCACCATCCCATCAGTGGTGGGGAGGGGGGACAGTTTAACCACTGACCTTGGCATCCACAGCTCCTGCGAGCTCTTACTGCTCTTTTCATCTTCCAGCCCACCCCTTCAGACCACAGAGACCACAGAAGCCTTGAAAAAGTTAGCCTTTAAATATTAAAACTAGTTTGCATTCTATGTGTACCTACATACTCATAAAAGAAGGTAACTGTCCAGAAAGTGTGCTGGGAGCAGAAAGAATAAATATAATGCTGTTTCCCCTACCATGAATCATTTAGAACGAACTGCTACACACTGGCTACTGATGAAATACTGCCCCAAATCTCTGTGGTTGACTTTCCCCTGTTGGACCCTCTGCTGTGGCAGTTCTATCTTCCTAAAAATAGTTTAGCAAACATGCCAACAATAATTAAGTTTGCTTTCCTCAATCTCTAGGGAACAGGAGTCTAATATTAAACTGAATGTATTAGTTCTAAACAGAGATGTTCCTGTTCATTTCTGTATGGATTCTTCACCAGTCTTTTAAACTAAAGACAAAAATGTTGTCATATCTCTGACCCTGATAAGGTATTGTGCCGTATGTGTTTACAGCGTTCTATTAATACAAGAGAATATGGTATGTCCTTTGCCCTAAGAAATATGAGAAATAGCAATACAGTTTCCAATGACCTGAAGACTTGGTTCTCTATAACTGTCTGCTACAAAGGTTAAAGGAAAGACCCTACAGCAAATCTGAAGTTCTGTCTGCTGAAATCCCCATGGAGCCTGTCGCTGCTGCACGTCTAGACACTGCCCCTCCTCTGAGCCATACGGCATGTTCATACACTCCTCATGCCGTAAGGAATCTTGTGCCTTATGTGACATGTCTTGCGTTTACAAGGTCCTGGAAGGCAGGCACTATAGCTTTGTCTTATTTGCGTTCCCCACAAACCTGGCACAGTGCATGGTATATCATGAAAGCTCCTAAAAGTTGAGGTGCACAGGAGGGAAATAGAGAGTTTAAAAAAAAAGTCTCCAAAAAGACAAGGTATTCTGGAACTTAGAACAGCTTACATGATTAGAACCTCTTCTTACACTCATATTCTGACCCAGAAAACCTAAATATGGTGCAATTGTTAATGTTTGTCGGGACTTGCCTGGCCAAACCGCAGCTCTAGGTTTGCCTGGATGATAGAAGAGGAGGCCTCTAGCTCTGAGGAGCGTACAGCACCTGGGAAGTGACTTGGACACCTCGTCCCCACATCCTGGCTTGGGGTCAGCCCAAATGGGTCTTTAAGGGTGCAGACACCCTGGAGGAGCTCCAGACCCTCCCTGGGAAGCTGACAGAGAAGACTGAACCAGATCTGCCTTGCTCGCTCTGGTCTAATCTTCCTGAGCTCATTTTAACCTGCCAGGTCATGGCAACCCAGATAATCAGCTTCTCCTCCCAGGGGCAGGCTCAGCCCAGGACACCTGTGTCCATGGTGGTACAAGGCTCACCCGAAAAAAAAATGGGAGCCCCATGAGCTCAGCACTGTGCTGACCACGCCTGGAGGGGCCCTCAAGGAGCCACAGTCTAAGAAGACATGACATAAAAAGTGAGATAAGAGGAATGTGAGAGTTAGAAACCACATTCTGAGGTATCATTAAGGAACTGGGGGTGTTAGGCAAGAAGAGAGAAGGCACAGTAGCATCTTCTAGAATCTGAAGGAAGAATGTACATGAATGATGTCAACCATTCCAAAGCTCCCCAGATGGTGGGTTAGAAGCAGTGAGTGAAGCTGCTACAAGGCAGAAGTCTTAGTCTGGGTTCCTTAGAAAACAGATTGTAAGGCCAAGCTCAAGTATTACTGCTCTATTTAGGGGAGCAATCTCAGAGGAAAAAAGGAAAGGAAAAGAGATGTGAGACAAAGAGGGAGGGCAGATACAAGCTAGTATGTTGCCAAGCTGCCCACAACTTCCCCCAAAACACAGCAGGTCACACAGTGATGCCAGGGTTCTTGTTTACAAAGCTGAAGAATGAGCTTCACAAACAGTCAAGGTAGGAGAGCAAGGTACAGGCTTTTATTTAGAGATGAAGTGAAAGAACAGGGCTCCTGGCTCACGCCAGGAGGGGACAAGAGAGTCCGTGGTGGTGCGTTGTTTAGGGGATTTATAGGCAGTTGAGAGACCAAGAGTTAGGGAGGTGGATCCACCAGATGGTCTCTAAGTGTTTATTTTTAAAGAGACACTAAGTTTCTTATCAGTTTTCTAGACTATATTTGTGGAGTTAACATAAGAAATTTACTGTTTTGATCTTTTCTCAGAATAGCAGTTTCTTGGTTTATGAGTATATCAGTTAAGGCTGCTTGTTTTGCTTTCAAGGTGAGCTGAGTTACTGACTTGATTAGGGCTGGAGGAGGAAAAGCAGCATCTGGGTAAAGTTAAAGATAAACTGGGCCTTTTAGCAGGCTAAAGTAAATTTTACAGTAGCCTCATTCAATTGACACAAACAAGACATGGGCTGTGCTGAGGTATTTTCTTATCTGGGGGATGTTCAAACATTCCAGGCCAGGTTATTCTTGGCTTTTTAGTTTTAACTAATCTTCACTGAAGAATGTTTATATTCCTAGTTTAATATTTTACTTTAGAGAATTAATGTGACTCTGTCTTTGTTTAATTGTTTAATATGGAGTTTTGGTAGGGGTCTTTTTCTGGAGGCTCTCACCTTACTCTGACTACAGTCACGGTCCCTGTCGCAACAGGACGTTTCTGGAGGAGATGGGAGGTGGCAGGTGGCAGCATTGCACCATGCAGCATGGTGCAGAAGGAGCTAGCAATCTACCTTCTGGATCCTTCCTATCTCCTCTCTCTCCTACACTGGGCAGGTGTAAGTCTCAGTTCCATCCTCTGCCCCTTTGAGGAGCACAGACAGAGCCAGGGCCCCCATGGGTCAGTGGGATTGGCCAGCACTGGCGCTGCCACGGCTCCCACCATGGTGAGCAAGACAGAGGCTGTCCCCAAGCCCAGCCCCGACCTGAGGAAGGTCACAGACAACTGGAGGGTGAGATGAGTCACCACAACGGCAGCAGTGGCCAAGCCAGCAGGAATGACAGGATGTGAGGCCAGCGGTCAAGGGCTGGGGACAGGCAAGGCTGAGGAGGAACGAGATGGCCTGCAGACGGCCTAGTAGAGCAGGTTTCAGTAAGATGCTCTTTTCTAACACCCCAAACCATCCGATATTGAACAAGCCCATTCTTTGCAAACTTTAGGCACATACAAATACCTGGGGATCTTTTCAAATGAAGAATTTTGACTCAGCAAGTGTGGGGTGATGTCGCAGTCCAGCCACAACAGTCGAACAGGCCCATCGAGGGATGTGAAGAGACCGGAGAAAAAGCACGAGAACTGGGGAGGGCTGACGCTCCTTCGTGTCTCCAGCAAACTTTATTGAAGGTCCAGGGTTTATATAATGCAGTGGGGTTACATGATTCCAGGACATAGCATTATCCAATAGATAATCAAGCACAGTATTGATGTCAGCGGTAGCCGGGCAAAGTTAAGAACAATAAGGCTCCTTCAGTTCTTCATGGAATGCGTAATCAGGTTGTTAATCAGCAAGTGGGGGAAGGCAGGCCAGAAGCAGGGGTGGTGTTTCCACACATTCTCAAGGTCTCCCTATTTTCAGAGTGAGGAGTCTTGGCTCATCCTCGAGGACAAGACATGTTTTTGTGGGCAGATAACTTCCAAGGACTGCACCGGCTGTTCTCACGCTTGTGCTTTCCCATGCTGCATTCAGACATGGGGGAAGGTGCTTTCCCATTCTGCCTACAAATATGTGAATAGACAAAGGCAGCCCCCGACATCGTGAGGCCTCAGATTCAGCATGCCCCCCTCCCTCGCAGCATTCCTCATCCCCTCCCACTGGGGATCCACTGTTGCTGACCCCCCAGACTACACTGTGAAATAAAGTGGGTGGTCGGCTCCTCCAAGGAGTGAGTTCCACATCCCTAGGTATAGTAGCAGAGCCTGCATTGACTAATTTTCTGTTACAAGGAGTCAGGGAGTTTGTAGAGGGTTCCACCTGAGGTGAAAGACTGAACTAAATGACCATTATAGAACCCTCCCGATCTAAGTGCTGATTTATTTCCAAAAACTGATAAATACTAAACCAATGACGAATGACAAGAGTAGTTAACAAAGAAGAAATGCCTAGCTTTGACCTTATTCATTGCTCACTTTTCAGTGACTGCTTATCAGACCCAGAGCACAATTAGCCCAGGCAGTGACTGAGCTTTGCTGAATGTCCACTGACCAGGAACAATGTAATCCCACCAGTAATTAACATGACTGATTCTTTTCTCACCATCTCCTTTTCACTGCCCTTCCTCATCCACAAGAAAGCCAAGGAGTAAATGCAGAGATGTGAAAAGGTATAGACAGATCTAGGATCATTAGAGACTTTCTCCTTCAGAGATTTATGGAAGCTGAGCTAAATTTCAAGTATGAAATGCAAACATTTCACTTCATACCCTGATGAATAAAAGCTGAAAATCTCCTTAATCCAGAAATTTAGAATGTGAGTTTCTGGATAGCTGAGTTTTCTAAGAACAAAAGTTGACCCTTTCGAAATTACGTATTTTTTCTTTTTTTATTCTATTTATTTGTAACCATTTAGAAATGCCCTACACATTTGAATCGATTCCAGATAGTTGTTTCTCTTTACCTTTCAATTAACTTCTCAAATTCTTATGTCTGTACTATCAGGAGGCAGGGCATTAGCCCTTTAAGCCTCCTCTACATACACACTGTCCCCCAGTGCTTCGGGGCATCCACGCAGGAAGTGCTGCCGGAGTCAGATTGGATTATAACTGCCATTGCTCCTCTCTGCCACATGGTGGCACTGTTGAAGACAGGTCCTACCCATTGAGCACTTGGGCAGACTAGACCGTTGCTGGTCTAGACCCTTGTAAAGATTTGCGTGGTTCCTGAGGAAGGACCACCCCATCTCCCAGTACCGAGTTCAGCCACATGGTTGCAGCTCTTGTTCCCTGCTCTTTCTGATCACACATGCCTACTTTCCTTGATGCCAGCCAGTCCCCAGGGATGCCATGAGGGGCTAATGCCAACATCCACCACCTCACAGATCCAGAATCCTTTTCATGCATGCTTTCCTCCCCAAAGAGGAATGTATAGTTAGCACTTAAACCTTTGAAAGACAAGAGGTCTTATTACACCCCCTCTTCATGCAATCTGCACCAAACTTTCTTAGGAAATCTAACCTTGATGAATCCTAGTTGCTCTAACCCAGCCTCCTACTCACTTCCCTGACTTCTTAGAAGAGATACCCTGAGTATAATTTAACTTTGTATGCATGCCTCAAGGCCAACAGTGTAAACATCATGGTTTGGTTTGATTCGGTGTTGCCTGTTTTCCTAAGTAAGCATACAAGTGTCTTTTACATTAGGTTCTGAGAGGTCATTTGCCATAACTTATATCACAGAGCTAGTATTTGGGGGACCCTTGATTTCAAATCCATCTCTGGCCTAAAGCCCATGCTCTTTTCTCGGCACACAGCCCCCCGGCCTCCCTTCCTGAGGCTCTCTGACAGAGGGCATCACCCTTCTCCTCCAACCTTGCTCCCTCCTTTTGACATGCATAACTTTATGCTCCAGCTAAATTTAACTCCTGCCTTCTCTCCAGAAGTTAACTACTTTTCCTTCTCCGCACCTTTGCTCATGTCATTTCCATTTTCCTAAATTGCCATTTCATCCTTGCCTTTTGCAATCCTAATCATTCTTTAAAGCACAGTCCCTTCAGATCTTTTAAAATCCCTGCCACCAAATGTGATCTCTTCTTCCTTTAAACCCCCATAGGATTTTATACTTACTTCTCTTACAGTGATTTCATTCCCACATTGCAGATGTTGGAGGATATCTAAACACCTCTTTAATTCTTTATTTCCTGCCACATCTTGGATATCATCTTAGTAAGCATTTAGTAAATAATGTTATATGGAATTTCATTGCCAAAACATCCCTAAATTCTTTAATAAAATCTTCCCTCCAACCTAAACTTGGGCCCTCATAGTGTGCTCTAATCCCAGGAGGATTAGATGTAAAAAAGGAAATACAAAACAGGAAGTAAAGGATGATATTGAGGTATTCTTTTTATAGGTTGCAAAAGTCTCTAATGGTCTATGGCTGGGAACTTCCACTAGCACGTTCAGCAACTCACAGCATAGAAAAAAATCACCCATACATGCAGCTGAGAATGACAAGTGGAGAACTGTGGGAGGTGGGAAGGGGGATGTCATTTCAAGAAGAGGATCATACTCTCCTCCTACGGGTACCAACACACAATAGTTTGTCATCTCACTGACCTCAGTCCCCTCTCCTCAGTCTTAGCACTGGAGTGTCCCCAACTTAGTCTCATCTCTTCTATTATTCTCTTTATACACCTTTTCCATGGGGCGGGGGCTGTGACTTGGGCCACCTAAGCAATTTACATTCTACTGTAACTGACTAACTGAAAGGCAGAGACGGAGACGGTCAATGCCATGCAGCCATCATCACACATTTCTAGCTTGTGACACCGGTAGTGAGTGGCAGGCAGTAGTGAGTGTATAGAACCAAAACTTCACATTTAGGTGCCTCCTAGGACATGTGATGATTTGCAAGACTGGCAAGTGAAATCAAGTACATGTTTGTTGGAGAGGCATAAGAAACTACCCTGAACCAACATCCTCCCACCTTTCTTGATGGTGATCAGAGAAGTTTCCAAGACAGCCTTTAGCCTCGTAAGGCAACTCACTTTTTGCTTAGACATACTAAATGTTTTGTCCTTTGGGGACACATTAGCACAGCCATTGGTACTAAACATCTCTAAGTGTCTTCTGAAGACAGAAGAGAATCAAAAATGCAACTATGCCTTTTGCTAATTTATTGCACCACTACTCATTTGAAGCCTGCCACTCAAAACACTTGGAATACTGATTGCTATGTATTATTCTATTGTGGAAGGAGTACCTAGGTCTCTGGTAAAAAGCCAGGCAAGTCTTTACCCTAGCATACATAAACATTTGTGTGTGTGTGTGTGTGTGTGTGTGTGTGTGTACATGATGTGTATGAAGTTCTCTCCGTACCCAGTTCTATTCCTATACCTTGACTGCTTTCAATTGCTTTCGGCACAGTAACTAGTTTTCTTCTATGCAATATACCCAAATAATTTCCAAATAAATGGGTTGGTAAGGACCCATAGAGATTTTTGATGGTTGTACCGGATTTGCTTGCCAAAGTGAGAATTTTAACAATTGTATTGACTAGAACACAAATGTTAAAGAAAAAAACTAAGAAAAATTAGTTTCCATATACAAACAGATATAAGTCATTTTAGAAGCTACCTTTTAACCTGAAACCCATCAAGAAAATCTTTTTATTTAAATCTTAGGAAACTATGAGTCACATAATTCATAAACTTTTTCCTTATAGAATGAAACTAGTCACTTCAGTATCCAGATTTAGAAAGGAGGAATCTAAGACACATTAGCACAGCCATTGGTACTAAACATCTCTAATTACCCCATCAATACAACACATTTGAGCATTCACCCATATTTGCATATATTTATTTATAAATTATATACATGTACTTCTCTATGGACTATCATATTAACTGTATAATAAAATAAAGATTAAAAGTTTTAGAGACTGAATTAAAATAAATATCACTATTTTTTAAATTACTTCATTAAATGGTACAAAAATGCCTTTCTGCCCTCCCTGCAAACCTAACAGAGATATTTTTAGTGACAGCAGTGGTAGGATACGACACTGCTCTATGACCTCGTGAGCTGTCTTCCTGTGCTGAAAGCCTACTCTCAAATGTCTTTCTAGTCTTAATGAGTTCACACCATCATAAGCTAATCCTCAAATCCTACTACATGGTGACTGAGGCCCAGTCCTAATGAGACTGGATATGACTGTATTCATCCACTATGGCTGCCATAACGAAGTACCACAGACCAGGGGACTCGAACGACAGGCTATGTTCTCACTGTTTGGAGGGCTAGGAACAGAGATCAGTTAAGGTGCTGGCAGGGCTGGCCTCTGCCGAGGGCAGAGAGGGGAGGATCTGCTCCCTGGCTCTCCCCCTGGCTGGGAGAGCATCTCCTCATGTTCTCACATGGCCTGCCCTCGGCATGTCTCTGGGTCCAAAATTCTTTCCATAAGGACACCAGTCAAATGGCATTAGGCCTCACCCAGACGACCTCATTTTAACTTAATTACCTCTGTAAAGAGCCTATCTCCCAATAAGGTCACCTTCCAAGCAACTGGGGATTAGGACTTCAACATCTGAACTGGGAGGTGGGAGAATGGGGAGAACACAG